AAAATTTAATATATAAATTAAAACAAAAAATTATTATTATTATTACTATTCTCTCATTATTATTATAGTCATATATATACTCTAAATATATTTATATATAAATTTATTATTATTATTATTATTATATCTTTATTTTCCATTTAACAAATGAAAAATATTTTTAATAATAATAATATTATTATTAAAAATTTGTAATCAAAAACAAACCAATACAGTAGTAGTTGTATTATAGTAGTAGTAATTAATTGATAAAAATGCAATTTTTGTAAAACATTATCTGATTTTAATATACCTAATAATATCATAATAATAATAATATAAATTATAAGCATTTATATAATAATAATAAAAATTGATTTTTATATAAAGTGTATACTGTATTATAGTATAGTTAAAACATTATATATAATTATTCAAATTTATCTAGAGCAAATATTATCGATATATATATATATAATTAACTTTTATAATTTATATCATAGCATAAATTATATAGTAATGATAATAATAATAATAAATTAATTTTTAGAAAAAAACAAAACTAGATTTATAATCAATTTTATTTTTAATTTAATATATTAATTAAAAATTTTTATTATTAATATTATTATTTTAATAATTACTTTAAATAATATTACATTATAATGAACAATACATATATATCAATATATATATATATATTTATTTATTTATATAATTTATTGTATAATAATGTTAGCATCAAATGGTTTTTGTTTTTTATATTATATATATATATATATAAATATCTTGTATAATATATATATAATTAGATTTATATAATTATAGAAAAACAGATTATTTTAATAATTATTATATAATTTTTTTTGAATTATATTTTCAAATGTGTTACAAAACCTTTGGTTTTTTTTTGAAACAAACAAAAATTTAGTCAAACAATTGATTTAAGAAAAAACAAAAAAAAACAAACAATTTTTACAAATGAAAAAAAACAATAACCAAACAAACAATTGGACAGTTAGTTATAGAATATATATAAATATAATTATATACAATAACACACACACAATTAATATGTGTATTTATACAATAATAATAATAATATTAAATTTACAAAATTGTTTTATTTCAATGTCAATAGTTTTTTGTTGTTGTTGATAACTATTTATTTCAATAATAGCATTGAATTAATACAATAATTTGATTTTTGTATTTTATTTTGTAGGGTGGGGTGGGGTGGGAGTAGTAGTGGGCGGATAGCTGGGACAAACTATTCAACAACAAAAATATGGAAAAATAAATATGGACAATAGTAATAATAATAATAAATAAATAAATAACTAACTCAATGATTAATAATTTAAATAATTGTTTAAATAATAAAACTCGTATTATATATAATTGATACTAAATTGATTTTTTTATATTAATTATTATTATTATTATTTATATTAAATTTAATTGTTTTTTTTATATATAAATATATATAAAGTTATGAAACAACAACAACAACAACAACATCAAAGTTATGTTACATAAGTTTATATTGAATCAAATGTCTTCAATGATAATAATAATAATGTCTATCTGTGTGTTCATGTGTGTCGGTCGGTATCTACAATGATGTGACAAAACAAACAAACAAATAAAACAAAACATATTAAAAAAAACAATTAAATTGATTAAACAAAACAAAAAAAAATTAATTAATAAACAAAAAAAAACTTTTAAGTCACTATTAAGTACTATTATGTTTCAATTTTTATGTTTGTGTGCGATTGGGTATCACCACTACTACTACCGGTACCAATGATACCACTACTACTACTACTACTACTACTAGTAGTAGTTGTAGTAGTAATTTGTTTTGACTCCTGAGTACTACTACTTTGGATGTCATTGATGTCTATTGCTTGAACCGGTTGTTGTTGTTGTTGTTGTTGTTGTGATATACTATTATCGTTATCGGCACCGGTATCCACATCAACTGGACTGGGCTTACAATCATTAGCGCTATTACCGCCGCCACCGCCGTCGTCACCGATCGGCAGCAGTAGCCTATCATTTGTCGGCAAATCGACCACTAGTTTCACTTTTTTCTTTGCCGGTGACGCCGCCGCCACTGACGATGACGTTGTAACCGATTCTTCGTTGTTTTGCGACGAATTAAATATCATCTTTCGTTTCACTTTATCGATCCGTTCTCTATCCTTAGCCTTACTATCCCTGTCCTCCCTATCCTTGTCTTTGTTGTTGTTCTGCTCTTTTAATTTGTCTTTGTCTGCCGTTGTTGTCGTCGCCGCCGATGAGGACGACATAGACGAGTCGTAACTCATTTTATAGCTTCGTTTCGGATCTTTACGGGACTCGCCGTTTCTGTAGTACTGTTTGAGCCGTACGTGCCATGCGATTGAAGAGACGGCTGTTTTTTGAGACATAGATAGAGAGAGAAAGAGAAAGTTAATGACACATAAAAATTAAGTTTTTTTTCTGTTGAGTAATCAATCAATCATTTTATAAACAATTTTTCTAAACATATGAGTCGTAATAATAAATATAATATCTATTTAATATATATATATAATAAAAAAAACTTTCAAAACTAATATTAATAGAAATGATAGAAACAAATACACATTTGTCTCAATTGATTCATTAATTTTTTTCTATATATATATATTTCTGCCAATCGATGACAACATTAGAAAAATATATATAATAATTATATATATATATTATTCAATACACACGCAATTATAACCCATTCAATAAATATTTAATTGCATTTTATTTTTTTACTTTTTTATTATATATATAATACTAAATAAAAATAAAACAATATAACTGCTGTCCAATCCAAATGTGAAATATTGATCGCATATAGAGTACACACACACACACACACACATACATACATACATACGCACGCATACATACATACATACGCACGCATACATACATATATACATACACACACACACACACACACACACACACACACACACATACATACATACATACATACATACATACATACATACGCACGCATACATACATATATATATATATATATACACACACACACACACACACAAATACATAAATACACACATAAATACACACATACATACATACACATACATACATACATATATACACACAGATAATTGAGTAAATTATTAAATAACTACTAAAATTTATAGTTTCATATTTGATTATATATATATATTTAGCCGATAGTATTCAACTATCAAAAAAAGCTATCAAATAAAATGCGATACTTTTTTAAAAACCATTGTAACAATAATACAGATAACGTGCATTGAATTAATGATATTTTTTTTAGGTAATACTAATAATATATCCTACTATTGGATCGTCAACAATGATAACTGAAATAAAATAATAATAAATAAAAGTGAATTAATTAATTTTGTATTTTCTTTTTTGAAAAATAATATCCAATTTAAAAACAAAATAATAATTTTTTTTAAAAAAAAGCTCGTGAGTGTAATATAGTATTTTTATTTAGCAGTTATAAAAAAAACTATAAAATACAGTTAACTAAGAAAAACTAAATGATATTTTCAAAATCATCAAATATCACACACACAAACACATTCATACAGACACACACACAAACATTCATAAACACATACAGAATACATACATATAGATTACATACACACATACATACATAGAGAATACATACATATAGATTACATACACACATACATACATAGAGAATACATACATATAGATTACATACACACATACATACATAGAGAATACATACATATAGATTACATACACACATACCTACATATAGAATATATACACACATACATATAGAATACATACACACATACATACATATAGAATACATACACACACATACATATCTAATACATACACACACACACACACATATCTAATACATACACACACACACACACACACACACACACACACATATCTAATACATACACACACACACATATCTAATACATACACACACACACACACACATATCTAATACATATCTAATACATACACACACATACATATCTAATACATACACACACACACACATATACATATCTAATACATACACACACACACATATCTAATACATACACACAAATAGAATACATACACACATACATACATATTCACATACATACAGAATACATACATACACACATACATACAACACATATATATATAGTTTACATACATACACATACATATCTAATACATACACACACATACATATCTAATACATACACACACACACATATATATCTAATACATACACACAAATAGAATACATACACACATACATACAGAATACATACATATACACATACATACAGAATACATACATATACACATACATACAGAATACATACACATACACACATATATACATACAGAGAATACTATAACGTGTCTCTCTCTATGTAATTACCGGTAAACATAGAAAATACCAACTTTTCATAATTAACATATAAATTAACTAAAAAAAAAACTATACAAACAATAATTTAAAAAAAAAATTAGCATATAATTAAATCACCAATCAATATCACACACACAAACAAATCTCATCAAACACATTGGATACCCCCACCCCACCCCACCAAACAAAAAAAAAACCAAAACAACAAATTACCGGAAACAGTACGAAACTGGTGAATGATATTGCGGGGCAAAAAAATATATATCATTAATATATATTGAATACATACACACATATACATACACACATACATGTAGAATACATACACACACATACATGTAGAATACATAAACACACATACATACATATATATATATATAGAATACATACAACACATATATATATAGTTTACATACATACATACACATACATATAGAATATAAATTTTAGCATAAAATTAAATCAACAATCAATATCACAGACAAACAAATCTCTAACCACATTGGACCCTTGGACACCCCGCCCCCACCCCCATCAAAAAAAAACCGAAACAACAAATTACCGGAAACAGTACGAAACTGGTGAATGATATTGCGGGGCAAAAAATATATATCATTATCGTGCAGTTGAATACGGGCGTAGCGTATGCCGTCCCGGCGCAACTGATTCAGTTTGGCATCCTCGACCCAGGTGATACATTGGGAAACGGGCGGTTCGTGTAGGTCGAGCTGTAACTTTTGGGTCAGCTGGTCAAAGTCGGCCGCATGAAAGGCGACAACATCTTTGGTCACCCGATTGTATTTCCATTGGCTGTTACAGTTGACAGCTTTCAATACGCCGACGGCTGCCGTTGTTTGCCTATCGAAACCTTGGCCAACGTGATCGGCGTGACATCGGGTTCTATGAATCGGGTGATCAATCAATTAATATATATATTTTTTAATAAAAACACACAACAACAACACATACCTGTCCTCGAACATCATCTCCCGGGGCTCACTAATCCTACGCAACTGTAGACCGCGGAGTTCACTTTGCGCACGTTTTTGGCTACTTTTCGGTGTTTTTTGGCCGCCACCACTAGCGCTAAGTTCGGCCGTCGGTATCAGTTGTTCGCCGGGTCTGATCCACAATATCGGACCGTCGTTTGATTCTTCGGGTGTTGCCATACGTACGGCAGACATATGACCCCATGGCATAACATACTTGAGGAATGGCGACTGTTCGAGTAGTTGAATCATTTTCGGAAAATAACCTCCGACTTCCTCGTGTACGGTACCGACCAGCGATATCTGATGAAGGGGTCCATAACGAAACGTACCGTTATTGTAGTTTTTGTGCACCTGTATGTTAAAAAAACACAATTAATAACAATAACAACAACAAAATACATTAGAAATTAAACTATTATTATATAATAATAATAAGATATCTATTAGTTAGACATTACACACACATATATATAAAAACTTATTAGACATTTAATATCTATATATCTATAATAACAACTAAATACAGATATATTATATCATTGAATAATAATAATGTTTTTTTTAATATACAGTATAGTGTTATCTGAAAAATAAAGTTAAATAATAAAAAAAATATATTACCCAGTAAATTATTTATTATAGATTAAACAATTTATATAATAACTTTATCTCCAACTATTGAAATAAATATTATTATTAAGTAATATATTAAACACATTTATCTTATATCAACATTGCTATATATATTGCTAGTTAATTAAAGTAAACTATTTTTGATAAATTAAAATTAAAATAAAAAAATATATACAAAATATTTCAATCAAAAAAAAAAACAATCAAATTTAATCTAATTAAATATTAGCTATCTATTCAAATAATTAATATAATTTTGTTTTTAAATACATTTAATAATCTGTAATTGAATAACACTAACAATAAATTCAATACTAACTAATAATATTCAAAATAAAAATATTTTAAATTATTAACTACACGTGATATTTAAACATTATTATCTAATTATCAACAAAAATAAAATAAAACTTTTTATCTATAATCTAATAATAATTACTATAATATGAAATAAAATAATTGTCACTAAAAATTATATTTTATAAAATGTTTATCGTTTTGGTTCATATCATCAAATAAATAATATTTTTGATATTTTTTAGAAATACATTTCAGTAGAAATCATATCATAATATATATATATATATATATATATCATATATACATTGAATGAGAGATTTTCATAATAACAATAATAATAACTAAAAACTTGAGATACATTAGACATAAGTTTGCATAAAAAGCAAAACAAAACAAAAAATAAATACAAGTTTTTCAACAACAAAACAAAAATGTACTTCAAAACTACTTTTTTTTATTTAAAAAAAAGTTGTTGTTATTGAATGAAAAACTACTATTAATGTTGTTATATCACACACACACACACACACACACACACACACACACACACACACACACACATATATATATATATATATATATATATATACATACACACATACACACACACACTAGCATTTAATAAACTTTTTTATTTGTATTTAATAATAACAAACAAACAAACAAACAAAAAATATTATAATTTATATCATATATTACTGTATATAAAGTTTTTATACGACATTTAAACTGTAAAAAATTTCTAAACAATACTAATAAATACATGAAAAACTATTTAAATTACAAAATATGACACCAAAAAAAAAATCTAATCAATAATTAATTAATTTGAAACACAAAACATACAAACAAACAAAAATATTATCAATTTAGTACTGTATAACCAAACAAACAAACAAACAAAACAATACATACATTATCTCTGTAGGCCTGCAATGTTGTCGTCTCGATATCGGAACCGGAATGTCCTAAAACACCCGCTTTGACCGTTAGGGCGGGTTCGCTGTCGGCAAAAAACTCCAACAGGTCGGGCATAGTTGACGCTGCATTGTGTACAATAGATATAACATATTTGGCTACATTCGTGGATTCTTCGCGAAAACTTTCCTTCAGAAATTCGATGGCCAACTCGTCCCGTTCATCGACAGTCAAATGTATGATTTCGTCCCAATACAGATGCAAGACTTTGGCCATACCGTTCGGATAGTGTTCCACGCGATAGTATTTGCCGTACTTGAGGTTCAGTAAGTCGGGTGCCGGCAGCGGTAACCGTGGCGTCTGCAGCGACAGTGATAGTGTGGGTGGAAATGTTTGCAATCTTGAGGACAAGTACTGATCCATTTTGCATTGTATGCGTACATTGGATACGGATTTTCTGCGACACTTTGAACACATGGCTGACTTCATAAACTTCGAGTGCGATTGCGGTTTCGTTGGCGGCGTTTCGGTAGCGGCGGCGGCAGCGGTATTGCTGGCCTTATCTGGCGTTTTGTTGACTGGCATCGACTTATGATGACTCGATGTTGATGATGAAGAAGATATACACTTATGATGCTTATTGTGATTACTGTCACCACTACTGGCACTACTGATGATGACGGCATCACCGTTACTGATGGCAGCGGCGGCGGCAATACCACCACTAACGCAGCCATTGTGTTGTTGTTGTTGTTGATCACCAACTGATTTAACAACACTGTCATTATCTTGTGTTTTATTTTCTAGACTCTCTGTTGCCGTTGTTGTTGATGTCGATAATGAATGAGTTTTCGATGACTGTTCACATTTATGATGACATTTATTATTATTATTATTATTATTGTCACTTAAATTGCCGGTAATTACAGTGTTATTGTTTTTATCATTGCCTAAGACATTGTTATTGTTATGAAGTTTATGGTGATGTTGTTGTTGTTGCTGATGGTTATTGTCATTCAATTGATCCGTTTTATGTTTCTTAATAATCTCGGACGAGTTGATGGTACTATTGTTGTGGCGTTTCTTCAATTTTGACAAGTCTTTTGAATCACACTTTTTATCCACCATTTTATGATCACTTGATATCTTCGGTGACATTGATGTTTGACATTCATTTGATTGATGATTATTATTGTTATGATTTGACTTTCGTTTAACATTATTATTATTATTATTACTATTATTGTGTAGTTTTTTATTATTGTCACTCTTTCGGTGACACACTGTCTGTCCATTTGATTGCTTCGGCAGACTATCGCCGGCAGCGGCAATGGTATCGGTGTTGACAACAACAACAGCACTATTGTTAGTCTCAATAGATTTCATAGTCTTTGTTGTTGTTGTTGACGTTGTCGTCGACGACACATCACTTAAACCATTAACCATTAAGTGGTGATTCGCTGCCGATGTTGTTGTTGTTGTCGTTGATGAAGATAATGATGTCTTCTTTTTCTTCTTAATCACACCATTAGTGTCCACAACATTATTGTTCGTACAGTTATTATTGCCGTTTATAAGCAGCTGTTGTTGTTGTTGTTGTTGTTGATGTCCAACGGATGACTTGGCGGCGGCAGAACTCTTGGACTGATGATTACCGTCAGCAGCAGTGGTCGTACACTTTGTCTTCATCGGCGACGGCGATGATGTCGTGGACGACGACGACACGGACGACGACGCCTTTTGGATACCGTTTTCGTTGACACCTAAATGTGTGGACATCGGAGTCGGTATTAAATAATAATAAACAAACAATTCAGTAGACAATCAATCAATTGATGGCCAGGAATTAATGGGGTAATTGGAAACCCCCCGAAAGTTCGGGTCGAGAGACACACCCGAAACATATAACACATATTTTTGTTTTGTTTGCACTTCACTTACGTTTCAACTCATCGCCAGTCGTCGGCAATCGATGGCCATAATCGACGGCCACAACCGTATCGACGGCTGAACACGTATGACACGAACCGTTACCGCCATTGATTTTGCGGACACCAGTCGCCAGTTGGTCACCGATTTTACCGATTAATTTGAGATCAATATTATTGGCGCTTATATTGGACGCCATTGTTATCAATATATTTTTAGTTATAAATGTTATGTTATTCAATGATATATATTATATACTGTATATAAATATTGTTGACTAACTTATCCAATCAGTACTGTATTACTAACTAATATAATTCTACTAACAGTATGTACAGTCTATACCTAATAAATAGTGAAACACTTAAATAGTTATTCTATTAGTTCAAAACTCAATAGTCAACACAATAATAATGTTTTATTAGAGTGAATGTAATACTTGCCAAACGTCGCGTACACAACAATTCGATACTTTATTATATAATACTTGATATATGTATAATAGTCTATTAGATTATATCATAAATAGTATGACTATTGCTAATTGATTGATTGATTATTATTATTATTTACGAATAACTACAATCTACTCATAAGTATTAATAAAAAAAAACTGATTCTTAACTAAAAATATATTATAATTGTTACAAATTATAAACTGTTTTTTATATTAAAAAAAATTACTATAAGTTTTGTTTTATTATTATTATTATTATTATTAGTATTAAATAAGTTTATCAAATATTAAATATATTTCAACCATTTTTTTTTTAAAAATGTAATAAATTAATTTTAGGTTTTATTAAAATTTATTTTTAAATTTAGTTCAATTAACTTTACTGTACTTTTAATATTATAATTATTATTATATAATATAGTAGTTTTAATTAATTAGTTTTTTTATTTAATTATTTAGACATAACTTTAAGTTTTTTTAAAAAAAAAAAACTTAATATATATATATACAGTACAGTAATGTAGATGTAGTACAAAGTTATGAATACCAGAGAGTTGACTGTATTATTATAACTACTAGTATACATGTATTATACAGACATTTAGTTTTCAATAATAATAATAACAATAACGCATTTGTAAGCCAAGGGTCAACACTCACAGTATGTTTCAATGTATTATCAATGTTCGGGGGGAGGGGGTGTTTCGCGCGGGGGGAGGCGGGGGAGAGAATGTATTAAAGTCAAGGAATGGGCAGTTACCGGGGGGGGGCTGGCGGTGGGCAACTGTAACCTATATCATATAAAAGTTATGGCTTGGTGGGGGTGGGAGTAGGGTAGGGGCTAACCCGGGGGTTACTATTTAAAAAAAAACTTTTTATTATTGTAAGTTTACATAAAGTTAAAGTCACCCCCGCCATCCCACCCCACCCACCCAAGTTTATAAAAGTTTAAGTCCCCCCATCCCATGGCTAGCATCATTATAGACTACTATTGTATTAATACATGTATAGTTAGATTCATACTATTGGCTTATATGTCTATCAAATGAGAGAAATCAATGTATTTAAAAATAATAATTATTTTTTTTTTAAAATAAAGTTTGAATCATAGATAGATGTATGAAATCAAAGTGTCCAACAAAAATAATAATGTATTAAATGTATTAACAATACAATTGAATTGCATTATAATATTGCAATAATTGTTTATTGCATTTAATGACTAATTAATTGCATATATATAATACAGTATTACTTGTAATACAATTTTAATATAAAATATATAGTTTTTTTAATACATTAGAAAAAAATATGGAAAAAAATTTAATTTTTGTTATAAATTTTTTTTTAAATTTTTAATATACTCTATATTTTTTTCCAATTAATATTAAATAATTTTATTAATAGTTAACAAAATATGTATAAAATGCAATTTTTTTTGTTGGTTGTCTAAATGATAATCAAACAAAAAAATGCTATTTTTATTTAATTTAAAAAAAAAATTAACTAACTATTTTTATAATTTAATTAAATTTAAAATTTAATCAAAAAAAAATAGGATGTAACTTGATAACTTATTAATTTATCGATCAATCAATCAAGCATGCTAATTAAATTTATTTAGTATTAAATATTTAATTTAGACTAAAATTTTATTATTATTTTTTTTTAATAAAAAAAAAGTTAATAATAAACTAATAATAATAAGTTAAATAAAACTATAGATTAATCTGGAAATTGCTTTTAGCGCGCGTTATATATATACAGTAGTAGTAGTAGTACTGTATTAATCTGTATTACTATTACTGTAGTGTTAATGTGTTTAGTGTTAAGTCCAGTGTGTGTTTTTTTGTCAACTATAGGCCACACCTTATAGCCTACCAGTGCTCCTCTTTGTGTGTATGTGTGTGTGTGTGTGTATGGTATGAAATGAGGCAATAGTGTGTTAGTACTACTACTACTACTACCAGTACTAGTATATGTAGAGAGAGAGTATTGAGTCCGGTTAATACATACACATACATACATACATATACAGTACACATACATACATACATACATACACTTACACACATACACATACAGATACACATACACATATACATATACATACACATACACATACACATACACATATACATACACATACATACATACATACATACATACATACATACATACATACATACATACATACATACATACATACATACATACATACATACATACATACATACATACATACATACACATACATACATACATACATACATACATACATACATACATACATACATACATACATACATACATACATACATACATACATACATACATACATACATACATACATACATACATACATACATACATACATACATACATACATACATACATACAAACATACATACATACACATACATTAGTATAGTAGAGTAGTACGGGTATCGGTTTATTTGAATTAAATTTTTTTTTTTTTTTTTTTGATACTAATATTATACAGAAAAACCAATTTTGGTTTCGGTTTTGATTTTAAATTACTAATTATTAAATTAATTAATTTTTGATACCTATTTTCCTATGTGTCCTAAACCTAAAAAACATTAAAAGTCTACAATAGTATAGTATTGCGGTTTCGGTTTAATTAAATATATATTGTTTTCAACTAACAAACAAAATTACTTTAGTCGGGTTTTTATCTCCGGTAATTATTTTGTGTGTTGCTTTAAGTTTTCTACTAAATATATATATAGAGTCCGGCGAACATCTCTACTAATCGGCCATTTCCTAGAGAGAGAGAGAGAGAGAGAGTAATATAATAATAATAATAATAATACAGTAATACTATTGAATGCATTGGCAATACATAAGCATAGAATAGTCTCAAACACATAGTATATGTTAGTGTTTAGTGTCTATCCTATTGTGTGTGCGCTTTATATATACATACTATTGCTTATGTAGTCTATGTGTTAGAGAGAGAGAGTCCATACCATTAAGCCATTCACTCACTGGTGTTTCATAGCCGGCGTGCTCTCAGTGTATAACATCTAATATATTAACTATACATACAGTGTCTCTCATCAAACAAACAGTATTGCCATTGAATTTGTTGGTCGACTGACAACAACACAGCCATCAAAAACACACACAACCATCACTTACTCTCGACGAGTGGCCGAAGACATTAGGACAGACACTCCCGATAACAACTACCACAACAACCGCGTGAGTGACCGACAACAACAACAGCAACAATGTCGTCGACAGCGACCAATAATACTACAGGAGGTCCGACACCATCAAAAAAATTGAAGAAAGACGATAGCGAAGCGGTAACCGATAGCACAGCCGCCACCGCTACAGCCGCCACCACCACAGCCAACAACAACAACAACAGCAGCAACGGTGAAGTCAAGACAACTAACAACAATAGTTCCGCCGCCGCCGCTTCAGCAGCAGCTGCGGCCGCTGCTGCAGCAGCCGCCGAAGCTGCCGCTCTGGAGGACGATTCACGTGACTACGATCCCGAAACACAGAAGACATTGGAAGAGATCGATGCCACACAAAATGAAATTGATTCCTTGAATGAAAAAGCCAGCGAAGAGATCCTGAAAGTCGAACAGAAGTACAATAAACTAAGGAAACCATTCTTCGAGAAACGAAACGAATTGATAGCTAAGATACCAAACTTTTGGGTTACAGCTGTAAGTGATCTGTTTGTTTGTCATTGTTGTCGATGTCATTGTCTGATCTACTGTTTAGAAGACATTTATCTGATCCCCAAATGAAGAGTCTTTAACACCTATTTGTTTAGTGCTTTTAGTTTTTTTTGTGGTTTTTTCTGGTGTTTTTCAATACACAAACCGCTCTCTCAGTCCTCAATGGGTAGCCTTTGTTACACTCGATCGCCAGTTATAGTATACACACAGTGTATAACATACATACACATTGATAGGACAGTCAGTCTATGTATTGATTGAACAGTGTATTGATTGGACAGTTGTGTGTTTTTTTCTGTGTGATTGTTGTAGTTAATTGTCAATTAGTTTAATTTAATTTAATTATGTAATTAATAAGCTATTAATTGTTTTGTTTTAAATTTCTAGCGTTTAAGCGCTCTCTCTCTCTCTCTCTCTCTCTCTATATGTATATATCCCTGTGCTGTACATTCAAGCACATGGCTTAGCCATTAACTATGTTTGACTGTATCTCTGCCCTCTCTCTCTCTCAGCTCATACAATGTATACATACATACAGTACAGTAGTAGTAGTACTAGTATTACATCCATTAACTCTTTATACAGTGTATATGCTATGTGTATATGTGTTTAACAGTATATATATATGTATTTTTTAAAAAAAAATTATATATTTTTTTGTTGGGTATATAACTATTTAATTAATTAATTAATTTTCAATATAGTAATCAATTGTTTTGTTTTTTTTCAATAGTTTTATACTAAATTAATTAGTTTATTAATGGTTTAATTAGCGCACATAATGACAATATTTGTTTTATTTGCCGGTACCGGTAGTTTTGAAAAGTTTATTAGTATTGTATTGTATTGTCAATGGATCAGCACATACCTAACCCGCCCCTCCTCCCCCCACTCTCTCTCTATCTTAGCTACAGTTCCTCCCATTCCCTTCTAAAAGCCGATGATATGATGACAATGTCTTTAAATTTGTTTATTTGATATTAATTATGATTTTTTGTTTGTTTTTTTTCAATTATCAAACAGTTTGTAAATCATCCGCAAATATCTGCTATACTCGATGAAGACGAAGAAGAATGTCTGCATTTCTTGTCGAAGCTGGAAGTGGAAGAATTCGAAGACATTAAGTCTGGCTATAGAATCAAATTCTATTTCGATGACAATCCGTACTTTGAAAACGATTTACTTGAAAAGGAGTTCCATTTAGGTGCTGGAGGTAATGGATCTGTGTGTGTTTGTGGTGATCATAGTCATCATCAGCAGCCATAACCATCTACTTATACTTATACTATACCTTTCTATACATTGTCCAAACAGTAGACCAGATATTTATATATATATGTCTTCACACTTATTGTTATTATCAATACTTTAAATATTTAGTGATTTTAGTTCTTTTAAAAGCATTCAATATTTTTAGCAAAAATTTTTTTAGTTTTTTAATTGTTTAAAAAGTTTTAACAGTAAATTGTTTTAACAATACCTCTCTCTCTCTCTGTCTTCCTCTGTCTCTCTCTTACTCTCTCTCTCACTCTCTGTCTCTCTCTTACTCTCTCTCTGTCTCTCTCTCTCTGTCTTCCTCTGTCTCTCTCTCTCTGTCTTCCTCTGTCTCTCTCTTACTCTCTCTCTCACTCTCTATCTCTCTCTCACTCTCTATCTCTCTCTCACTCTCTATCTCTCTCTCACTCTCTATCTCTCTCTCACTCTCTATCTCTCTCTCTCACTCTCTATCTCTCTCTCACTCTCTATCTCTCTCTCTCACTCTCTATCTCTCTCTCACTCTGTCTCTCTCACTCTGTCTCTGTCTCTCACTCTCTATCTCTCTCTCACTCTCTATCTCTCTCTCACTCTGTCTCTCTCACTCTGTCTCTCTCTCTCTCTCTATCTCTCTCTCACTCTCTATCTCTCTCTCACTCTGTCTCTCTCTCTATCTCTCTCTCACTCTGTCTCTCTTTCTCTCTCTCTCTCTCTCATACACACACACTGTTAACTCTTATGATTTAATTGATTGATTTTTGTTTACTAAAAATTTAAACTTATCATCAAAAAAAAAAACAGGAGATCCGGCCTCAAAGTCTACACCAATCAAATGGCGAGACGGTTCGGATCTATCTAAACGACTACAGGACCAACAGTCTGCGTACAACAAGAATGAAAACGATACGAACGCCAAGTCTTCATCGGCGGCCGCTTCGCGAAAACGTCAGATGGAATTTCCCCGTACATTCTTCACATGGTTTACCGATCACGGCGATGCATCTGCCGATGATATTGCCGAAGTAATCAAAGACGATATGTGGCCAAATCCGTTGCAATATTTTCTGGTACCCGATATTGAAGTGGAAAACGGCGGTCTGGATGGCGAAGACGGTGACGAAGATTCCGACGACGACGAAAACGATGAATCGGTTGTTGTTGTCGAAGAAGAGGATGACGACGGAGAGGGTGATGAAGAGTGCGATGACGATGAAGAGCTGTACGATGGAGATGATGGTGACGACGGCGAAGGTGGTCCCGACGAGGATGACGATGACGGCGATGCCGATTAAAGTGGTGGCCGGCCGGACGTCGGCGGCGCTAATGGGTGGACATACGTTGTCCCCCTCCACTGCATACATACCCCCCTCTCCCCCACCCACCCACAAACACACACACACTCTTACATTAACTATTCGTTTATTATATATATATATATATATATTATTTTTTCACACACACACACACACAAACACTTACTGTAAAACTTAAACAACAAAAAAATTATTGTTATTTTTTTATTTAAATATTATAATAATAATAATTTTTTTTGTCGTATCTTTAAACACAAAAACAAACAAATTTGTAAACAAATGATTTTTTTTAAAAATATTTTTTTTTGTGTTTGTCGGACGCCTCCTAATCGTCGACTACTATCTGATAAACAATTATTTATAATAATGTTTATATATATATATATATATATATAAACTATTTTCTCTCTCTCTCTTTCATAATGAGATAATAATCTAACCGAAAAAAAAACACAATACTATATAATTGTATTTTCAAACAAAACATTTTTTTTCAATCAATATTATTAATGATTTAGTAGTATATATAAAAAAAAAATTTTGCTAATTATTAGTTAATCATTTGTATTAGTTATTATTATTATCATTGAAATCCATAATGAATTGAATAGTTGTCATTATTATTATTATTATTATTACTGATATATATATACTACCCGTCCCTCTAAACGCTATCTATGTCTATAACATCATTATTATCTATGTTTTTATAATCTTAATAATATTATTATAATTATTGTTTGTTCAATCAATTGTTTATTTGATTTTGAATTTGACTTTGAATTCACAATCATATTAAATATCAATACCGTATATATATAACAAACCAAACAACAAAAATAATACACACAACAACAAAATCTATAAAATATCATTAATAATGTTAAACTCAATTATTATTATAATTATTATTATCAATAATTTTTTGTTTGTTTGTTTGTTTTTTCTCTATCTCTCATTTTTTATTCAATACAATACAATGTATTTTACATTATGTGTAATAATAATAATAATAAAAACTTTTTTTTTGAAATAATTTCTAATTGATTTTTTGTTTGGTTTGTTTTGTTTTAATGGATCAATGGATCAGCGCCTATCACACACACACACACACACACACACCCTATCCATCATATAGATGATGACCAATGTTTTAATTAATATACAATTATTATATTAATTAATATATCTGTAAAAAATATGATATTAAATCAGATTTAATTTTTTTGTTTGTTTCAACAGTTTGTAAATCGTCGCAAAAATTTTGGTATACTATGAAAGATTCAGAAGATATAGGCTTGGGAGGAATCATATCAACCATAACCACCACCATTACTACTACTACTACTACTACTACTACTACTACTACTACTACTACTACTACTACAACTACTACTACCACCACCACCACCACCACTACTACTACCACTACTACCACTACTACTACTACTACTACTACCACTACTACCACTACTACCACTACTACCACTACTACCACTACTACCACTACTACCACTACTACCACTACTACCACTACTACCACTACTACCACTACTACCACTACTACCACTACTACCACTACTACCACTACTACCACTACCACCACCACCACTACTACTACAGTCATATACTATTTATATATACTGTATATTCAATCATATTTACCGTATAAAACAAAACACTTAAATAAAAATTATTATTTAATGTTAATAACTATTAGTAATAATTTGTTTTAATTATTTTTGTTTTCAAATTAAATTTATTATATATTCAGCAAAATAATATTTTTAAATACATTTAAATAATTTAGTATTTCATAAATTGGTAAAAAATAAACGAATTAATAGTTAATAAAGAATTAATAAAATATAAAATTTTTAAATAATAGCAAATTAAAAAATGTATAACTTTTAAGAAATTTAAATAATTGTTTGAAATCTAAGTTTCAATCGTTTTTTACGGAATTAGTTTTTTTAAGTAATAATATTTTTAGTCTTTTGTTTGGCTAATATTATCATCTGTTTGATGTCTGAATTCTCTTTAAGAAGAGATCTAACCTTTCCTTCAGTCCAACCCAATCGCTGACACAAAAGATGGTAAAAGACGTTGATTTTAATCACTGGATTAAACACAAGAAGCTCTGTGACAGCAGTTCTTAGTATCTGTGCATTAGTCTCAGTCACAGAGGGACTCCGTTTAGGTATCTTCTTAGAGTTGGACATTCTGTGGGATTTGAGTATCTTGTCGTTAATTTCTGGGTAACTGTTCAAACGTTTAGCTATGATAGCTGTTCCCCAATTTAGTTTATTGTCGATCAATTGGTAAAAGTATTTAAATTCTACGACCTCATTGGTCATCAATAGGTTGTCCACTGTTTCAGACAATACTTCCATTTCTTTCATCTTTTTTTCATTTAGATTATCATTGATCCACTCTTTTAACTTCTTCTTGATATCTTTACCGCATCTTAAGTTTTTTAGTGCCTTATATATAGCATATGGGGTCCGCTTGAGTTTCTTCGCCAAAAGCTCTTCGCTTTTGTGTATAGTATAGACATTAAGAGTTTGTTTTGTCAGGTCTTTGACAGCTTTTTTCAGTTTTAACCGTTCATTTGAATCCCAATCTCTATGATTATTCGCTGGATTGAAGTAATGAACTGATTTTTTTATCTTTGACCTCTTAGTCTTAGTTTTGTTTGACTTGTTATTCATTTTGTTAGCCATCGATGAATGGATTGAGTGGTCACCAGAGGTAGGGCCAGAGTTACGACAGCTGCGGCGGTGACTACTACTGATATTATCACCGAATTGATCATTGATTTGAGTTTCTCTATTGTGTCCATTATGTCCTACATTTTCAGTAGTATTGCTTTCCGTCGGTTGTGAACGAGTCTTAAGATGGCTTTGGTTATCATTGGATTCAATCGAATCATCGCTACTAATAAGTCTTAGGACTCGATGTTGTCGACGTTTTTTAGTTTTATTTTTTGTTTTCAGTTTAACACTTTTAGTGGTCTGTCCTATAGATTGTGATTGCGATGCCATATGGTTTGTATTGTGATTACTGGCGGCCGAATGTTTGTAGAACTGACGGTGACTCTGATGTCGGCTAGTGGTTGGCTGATATAAATCAGTCAAATAGTTGATATCTTCTTCAGCCACTTCTTCAGTCACTGCTTCAGCCACTTCTTCAGTCACTGCTTCAGCCACTTCTTCAGTCACTGCTTCAGCCACTTCTTCAGTCACTGCTTCAGCCACTGCTTCAGCCACTTCTTTATCCACTTCTTTATCCACTTCTTCGGCCTCTTCTTCAGTCTCTTCTTCAGTATTACTATCGGTAATGCAATTATCGTCTGAAGAGCTGACTGGACAATAACGATGGTTCTTCTGGTGATAACTTTTACTTCTTTTGTTCGCACCGTTATTATTATCATCGTATTCTTCATCAGAACTGATAGTAATAGTAGACTGTCTACTATAGCGGCGGTGAGTCTGACCGCATGTCGGCGTGGCTAATCCGGAGTTTACGCACATTAAATAAAATTGATTTTTTTCAACAGATAATAGTTAATTATGACCTAACAAACATATATCCATCAAAATTATTGCGCGGAAACACCTAAAACCTAACTAAAACCTAACCTAAATACCTGAGCTCTCATAACATAATTCTACACTAATTATAAATAAAATAATATTAAACAAACATAAAGCGCGTGAATATAATTAACATTTATAACAATGATAATAAAATAGTATTATTGTCATTTCTTTATAATACTTTTAAAAACAACTAGTTATCCATGCGGAACATATAACCATCCAATTTTATAGAATTTATAAATTAATTGAACCACAATAATAATGATTTTAAAACATAAATCCAATATATGAATGTTATTTAACGTGATAAACACTGATTCCGTAACCACAGTACTATATAGATTAGGTTAGGTTACCATTGAAAATTAGGTTAGGTTGCGGTTCGAACACCAGGTTAGGTAACGCGACAAACACTGATTCCGTAACCCAAGTACTGTATGAATTAGGTTAGGTTACCATTAAAAATTAGGTTAGGTTGCGGTTCGAACACCAGGTTAGGTAACGCGACAAACACTGATTCCGTAACCCAAGTACTGTATAAATTAGGTTATGTTACCATTGAAAATCAGGTTAGGTTGCGGTTCGAACACCAGGTTAGGTAACGCGAATAGCACTGATATCTTAACCCCAGTACTATATAAATTAGGTTAGGTTACCATTGAATATTAGATTAAGTTGCGAAGACATTGACACTTAAATTTATATATACATACAAACATTTTAAAATTATATAGTTGTATAGATAATAATATAATAATATTGTTTTATTATACAGTGATTGATAACAATATTCACGCGCTTTATGTTTTTTTAATATTAATTTATTTATAATTAGTATAGAATTATAATTTAGTTCTCGTGTATTAAGTATTGACAACAATATTATTCTATTAAAGTTGTTATAAATGTTAATTATATTCACGCGCTTTATGTTTGTTTAATATTAATTTATTTATAATTAGCGTAGAATTATGTTATGAGAGCTCAGGTATTTAGGTTAGGTTTTAGTTAGGTTTTAGGTGTTTCCGCGCAATAATTTTGATGGATATATGTTTGTTAGGTCATAATTAACTATTATCTGTTGAAAAAAATCAATTTTATTTAATGTGCGTAAACTCCGGATAGGCCGTCGGCGTCTCTACTGTTTCTTCGTGATTATCAGAGATATCGTCTGCTATAAGATTAATGTTAACTGAAGACCACAGATGGTAGAGATCAAACCTAATGGTCACAACAGAAGCCAATAATTTCGATCTAAACTTTTTGTCATTAACATCATATCTATCAAACAGTTCGAAACATTGGTCAGCTTTCGCCACCAGACTCTGGATCTGATCGTTAATAGTATCAGTCATTGTTTTATAAAAGCGTTTGATTTAGTAAATCGTTTGTAAACCGAATCCGTTTAAAATCAAATCCGAAAACAGTTTTTTATATAGAAATTAAATCGAATATTTAAAACTAATGCCTTATAATCTCGCGCTTAACTGTTAATAAATATTTAACTTATTAATTAATAATTAAGTTAAGTGTAATAATTAAATTGTAATTGTAATAAATATACTAATTAATTAATAATTAAGTGTTTATTTATTTAAATTGCTATTTAATATTTTACAACTAATTAATGTAATCAAATTGTAATAGTAATTGTAATAAATCTATATATATTTAATATTTAAATTATTAAATATATAATTAATTATTAAAATTCTATTAATATTATTAATTATTATAATCATTTTAATTAAATTGAATAGTATATTATAAATCTATATATTTGTAATAATTAAATATAATAATAATAATAATACTAAATAAGTAGTTTATAAATGAATTATTTAATTTTAACTAAATTTAAAATTAGTTAACAATAATACCGGGAAATCAGTTTTGATATTAATATTATTGTTATTTACGGACAATTTTTATCGAAACTATTGATTGATATCAACTATATATTAGCCAAACAGCCGACGGTAGTTAATGGCCACACCGAACCCCGTTTTAATTGTCGGTATAATTATTGGAAAGCGGGCTCTGACTGTATCCCATAAAGTTAATATAGAGATAGTGTTTGGACAGGTATTACAGTTATGTTTGCAATAAATACATATAAAAAACTTTATTACACTCTCTCTATATATATAATACACACAACAGAGTCTATACATACTATCTATTAAAGTGTATTGACTTTGTTGTCCACATCTAACAGATAATGGATATTATCGAAAACTCATTCATTATCGATATCGACATCAACATCAACCTCGACAACAACAACAACAACGGCAACAGAGAGTCTAGAAAATAAAACACAAGATAATGACAGTGTTGTTAAATCAGTTGGTGATCAACAACAGCAACAACACAATGGTTGCGTTAGTGGTGGTATAGTCACCGCCATCAGTAACGTTGATGCCGTCATCATCAGTAGTGCCAGTAGTGGTGGTGACAGTAATCACAATAAGTCCCATCATAAGTGTATCACTTCATCATCGAGTCATAAGTCGACGCCATTCAACAAAACGCCAGATAAGGCCAGCAATACCGCCGCCGCCGTCGCTACCGAAACGCCGTCAATCAAACCGGAATCGCACTCCAAGTTTATGAAGTCAGCCATGTGTTCAAAGTGTCGCAGAAAATCCGTATCCAATGTACGCATACAATGCAAAATGGATCAGTACTTGTCCAGTAGACTGCAGACATTTCCACCCACACTATCGCTGTCGCTGCAAACGCCACGGTTACCATTGCCGGCACCCGACTTACTGAACCTTAAGTACGGCAAATACTATCGAGTGGAACACTAGCCGAACGGTATGGCCAATAGTACTGGACCTGTATTGGGACGAAATCATTCATTTTCGGACTGTCAGATGAAAGGTATGAGTTAGCCATCGAAGGAAAGTTTTTACCGAAGAATCAGCTAAATTGTAGCCAAATATCTCATATCTATTGTACACAAAGCGGCCAAAACTATGTCCGTCTTATTGATTTTTTTGCCGACAGTGAACCCGCCCTAACGGTTAAGGCGGATGTTTTTTAGGACAATCCGGTTTCCGATATCGAGACGACAACATTGCAGGCCTACAGAGATAATGTATGTATTGTTTGGTTTGGTTATACAGTACTAATTGATAATATTTTTGTTTGTTTGTATGTTTTGTGTTTCAAATTAATTAATTATTGATTAGATTTTTTTTGTGTCATATTTTGTGATTTACAATAAGCGCACAATCATACCAACACTTTCATACCAACAATTGTATAGTTTATTATACGATTGATGACATCATGTAATTTCTAACACATAGACAGTAATACTATTTTTTCAATGTTTTGTTTTCAAAGTGTTGGTTTCATTGTGCGCTTAATGTTAAATACTTTTCATGTATTTATTAGTAGTAGTATTAAGTATTGTTTAGAAATTATTTCAGTTTAAAACTTTACATACAGTATATATATGATATAAATTATAATATTTTTTTGTTTGTTTGTTATTATAAAATTACAATTGATTTTTTGTTTTCTTCAAATAAAAAAGTTTATTAAATGTTTGTGTGTGTGTGTGTGAGTGTGTGAGTGAGTGAGTGAGTGAGTGAGTGAGTTAGAAATATAACATTAATAGTAGTTTTTCATTCAATAACAACAACTTTTTTTTAAATAAAAAAAGTAGTTTTGAATTACATTTTTGTTTTGTTGTTGAAAAACTTGTATTTATTTTTTGTTTTGTTTTGCTTTTTATGCAAACTTATGTCTAATGTATCTCAAGTTTTTAGTTATTATTATTATTGTTATGAAAATCTCTCATTCAATGTATATAATATATACTATATATTATGATATAATTTCTACTGAAATGTATTTCTATAAAAAAAATAAAATATAATTTATTTGATTAAATCAATCAAAACGGATAAACATTTTAAATTATAATTTTTAGTGACAATTATTTTATTTCATAATATTGTAATAATCATTATTATTATTATTATTAGATTATAGATAAAAAAGTTTTATTTTTGTTGATAATTAGATAATAATGTTTTAAATATCACGTGTAGTGAATAATATGTAATTTAAAAAATATTTTATTATTTTGAATATTATTAGTTAGTATTATTATTATTATATAATAGTTTAATTTCTAATCTATTTTTGTTGTTGTTATTAATTGTGTTTTTTTTAACATACAGGTGCACAAAAACTACAATAACGGTACGTTTCGTTATGGACCCCTTCATCAGATATCGCTGGTCGGTACCGTACACGAGGAAGTCGGAGGTTATTTTCCGAAAATGATTCAACTAGTGGAACAGTCACCGTTCCTCAAGTATGTTATGCCATGGGGTCATATGTCAGCCGTACGTATGGCAACACCCGAAGAATCAAACGATGGACCGATATTGTGGATCAGACCCGGCGAACAACTGATACCTACGGCCGAACTTAGCGCTAGTGGTGGCGGTGGTCAGAAAACACCGAAAAGTAGCCAAAAGCGTGCGCAGAGTGAACTCCGGGGTCTACAGTTGCGTAGGATTAGTGAGCCCCGGGAGATGATGTTCGAGGACAGGTATGTGTCGATTGATTGTTATTAAAAAAATTTATATTAATTGATTGATCACCCGATTGATTGTCCCAATATAGAACCCGATGTCACGCCGATCACGTTGGCCAAGGTTTCGATAGGCAAACAACGGCAGCCGTCGGCGTATTGAAAGCTGTCAACTGTAACAGCCAATGGAAATACAATCGGGTGACCAAAGATGTTGTCGCCTTTCACGCGGCCGACTTTGACCAGCTGACCCAAAAGTTGCAACTAGACCTACACGAACCACCTGTTTCCCAATGTATCACCTGGGTCGAAGATGCCAAACTGAATCAGCTGCGCCGGGACGGCATACGCTACGCCCGTATTCAACTGCACGATAATGATATATATTTTTTGCTCCGCAATATCATTCACCAGTTTCGTACTGTTTCCCGTAATTTGTTGTTTTAGTTTTTTTGAGGGGATGGGGGCGGGGTGTCCAAGGGTCCAATGAGTTTAGAGATTTGTTTATTAACATTGGTGATTTAATTTAATGCTAAAATTTATATTCTATATGTATGTATGTGTATGTATTAGGTATGTCTGTGTGTGTGTATGTATTAGGTATGTCTGTGTGTGTGTGTGTGTATGTATTAGGTATGTCTGTGTGTGTGTGTATGTATTAGGTATGTCTGTGTGTGTGTGTATGTATTAGGTATGTCTGTGTGTGTGTGTATGTATTAGGTATGTCTGTGTGTGTGTGTATGTATTAGGTATGTCTGTGTGTGTGTATGTATTAGGTATGTCTGTGTGTGTGTATGTATTAGGTATGTCTGTGTGTGTGTATGTATTAGGTATGTCTGTGTGTGTGTGTGTGTGTGTGTGTGTGTGTGTGTGTGTGTGTATGTATTAGGTATGTATGTGTGTGTGTATGACGATGACGAAGAGCTGTACGATGGAGATGATGGTGACTGCATACATACCCCTCTCCCCCCACCCACACACACACACACACTCTTACATTAACTATTCGTTTATTATATATATATATATATATATATATATTATTTTTTCACACACACACACACAAACACTTACCGTAAAACTTCAACAACAAAATTATTGTTATTTTTTATTTAAATATTATAATAATTTTTTGTCGTATCTTTAAAAACAAACACAAAAAATTTGTAAACAAATGATTTTTTTTTAAATATTTTTTTTGTGTGTCGAACGCCTCCTAATCGTCGACTACTATCTGATAAACAATTATTTATAATAATGTTTATATATATATATATAAACTATTTTCTCTCTCTCTCTCTTTCATAATGAGATAATAATCTAACCGTAAAAAAACACAATACTATATAATTGTATTTTCAAACAAAAAACATTTTTTTCAATCAATCAATATTATTATTAATGATTTAGTAGTATATATATAAAAAAAATTTTGCTAATTATTAGTTAATCATTTGTATTAGTTATTATTATTATTATTATCATTGAAATCCATAATGAATTGAATAGTTGTCATTATTATTATTATTATTATTACTGATATATATACTACAATGGTTTCAATCGCAAGTCATTACTACTAGTAGTAATAGTGATGATGTAGTTATAGTCAAACGTAGCCAACAATTGTATGATTTCAATGACCCGAAGTTATACCGATAGCTATTGACAGCAGCAATACTACTACCCATACTCAGGGAAATACCCGATATTGTCGACAATATTGGCGATCAGTATTGGATTATAGCTATACTAGAATCGGATGATAATGAGGGCATTGTATTTGCTAAGCACCGGGATATTGGATACTATTGTCTATTTAATAGTACAGTATATATATATATATATATAAAACCTATTGTTTTTTTTTATTGATAACTAAACAAATAAATAATAGTATAAATATGCCGACACCACGTCCGCCCAGTGTGCACACCGCCAACAAACGGCCATCAAACATATATAGGTAAGGGATGTCTCACTGATGGTTCCCGGAACCAATAAACCACTATCCATACATTCTGGATATACGGGAATCTCAGGTGACCCATCAGGTCCGGGTGTTCGCATTTTTTGCCAAAATATTCGGGGTCTGACGTAAACCAAGTTTCCCATATATACTTACCATTAAGTATCTGTAGTCCACTGTCGATCATATCCTTGGCCACCGAATCCGATTTGCCGTAGTTTTTGGCCACACCTTTTATCACTTTGTCAATCTGTCGGCCATACGTCAACTCTGAGTCCATTATCCGATTCATTCGGGCGTCGGATTCAATTTGTTCTTTAACGTCAAATTGCTTTGGTTTCTCCATAGGGAACGGGTGTTTTTTTTTCGGTGATTATAATCGGCTACAAGTGTTTCTTTGTTTCTACAGATTTATGTTTTTTTTTTGATAAATTAAATTTTTTAATATTTAATTGTTATTTTTTAAAAAAATAATTTTTATAAAGATTACCATAATTTAATGTAAAACTAGTATAATTGTATTATTATATTTTCAATTTTTATTGAAAGCAATGTTAGTTCTATGGGAAATTTTAAATGTTTATTGAGCACTGGTAGGTTTTAAGGGACAGGTAGTCAGATGCTGTGTAACTACATTTTGCTTTATGGTATGAGTCATATGGCACCGGGAGGTTAGCTAACTGTGCTAAATTTTTGTAATTTTTTTTCAAATACAAAAATTTTAGATTTGCATTAAAATTTTTAAAATTTTATTCAATGCAATGTTTTTTCTATGGGAAATTTTAAATGTTTATTGAGCACTGGTAGATTTTAAGGGACAGGTAGTCAGATGCTGTGTAACTACATTTTGCTTTATGGTATGAGTCATATGGCACCGGGAGGTTAGCTAACTGTGCTAAATTTTTGTAATTTTTTTTCAAATACAAAAATTTTAGATTTGCATTAAAATTTTTAAAATTTTATTCAATGCAATGTTTTTTCTATGGGAAATTTTAAATGTTTATTGAGCACTGGTAGATTTTAAGGGACAGGTAGTCAGATGCTGTGTAACTACATTTTGCTTTATGGTATGAGTCATATGGCACCGGGAGGTTAGCTAACTGTGCTAAATTTTTGTAATTTTTTTTCAAATACAAAAATTTTAGATTTGCATTAAAATTTTTAAATTTTTATTCAATGCAATGTTTTTTCTATGGGAAATTTTAAATGTTTATTGAGCACTGGTAGATTTTAAGGGACAGGTAGTCAGATGCTGTGTAACTACATTTTGCTTTATGGTATGAGTCATATGGCACCGGGAGGTTAGCTAACTGTGCTAAATTTTTGTAATTTTTTTTCAAATACAAAAATTTTAGATTTGCATTAAAATTTTTAAATTTTTATTCAATGCAATGTTTTTTCTATGGGAAATTTTAAATGTTTATTGAGCACTGGTAGGTTTTAAGGGACAGGTAGTCAGATGCTGTGTAACTACATTTTGCTTTATGGTATGAGTCATATGGCACCGGGAGGTTAGCTAACTGTGAAAAATTTTAGATTTGCATTTAAATTTTTAACTTATATTTAAAGTAATGTTATTTCTATAGGAAATTTAAAATGTTTATTGAACACTGGTAGATTTTTAGGACAGGTAGCCTGATGCTGTGTAACTACATTTTGCTTTATGGTATGAGTCACATGGCACCGGAAGGTTAGCTAACTGTGCAAAATTTTGTAAATTTTTTTTTTCAAATGCAAAAATTTTAGATTTGCATTAAAATTTTTAACTTTTATATAAAGTAATGTTATTTCTATGGGAAATTTAATTATTATTTGCGAAAAACTTGCATTTGAAAACAAATTTAGGAACAATTGTAGATTATAGACACCCAGTAGAAAATTATATGCCCTAAACCTAAAACTATATGTATAACTGCATTAAAAACAATAATTTTTTGCTGTCTGTCTATAATATACATTTAAACCAACAATCAAGTATTGATGTCAATCAGCAGCTATTATCGGCAACTATGGCCACAACTATGTCGTATTAATTATTGTATGACAATTAGAAGGAATACTCGAATCGGTGACCAACTATTGGACACCAATGGCCTATTGCCTGTCGAACATATGATACGTACGCTGGATATGTCGTCCGATATGGTAATCCGTAGACCAAAAACATGAACAAATCTATATTATAGACAGCCAGTAGAAATTTATTTGACCCAAACCAACCCCCACCCATCCAACCACTTCCTAACCTCACACCCACCCCAAACTAACCTAACTAAATGCTAATTAAGTAATAAAACTAAACATTTTATATACAATATGTATGTATAACTGCATAAAAACAATACATTTTTTTTGCTGGCTGTCTATAATATAGATTTAAGCCCAAAAACATGGCTCTTAACAGTTCAGCCGATTAGTCAATCTAACGGTTAAACGTATCGGCAATGTGTTTGCCGATGACGACGACAGTAGTAATCAACTATTGGTTAAGGGATTGCAATCGTTTAGAATCAACGGATTGCTTGACCCTCGGTTTGTCGACCAGTTTCGGACATTTTTCGCCGATAATAATGGTCTCAAACGATTGGACACTTGCTATATACCATTCACTGATAATGAGGACACCAATGAAGACAAAGTCAAACAATTGTTTCAGCAGATCTCGTGTCTAAAAAAAACTCAATCAATTGTATACTGCATTACATCTACAGGCGTTACCATCAATACCGGATCCATTGGTACTGATTGCTAACAATTGTCGACAACTAAGTCGTCTAAGACTACAAATCTGTTACGATTATGAAGACATTGATTTGAAGGCATTTATCCGGACATTCAAATCAGTCAAACAAATGCATCGTTTGAAACGTCTGGATCTGGATATGGTTGGCGAAAATGATTTGGACAACAATGACATTGATTTAGTTGAAAGACATTTGTCGACCACACAGATGACTGATTTGCAGTTAACACCGAAATGTTGGCCACAATTAACACATCTGAGAATTGGCGGTAAAATTACAAAACTAATAGTCAATCAGCCGATTATTGCCAATCTATACCTAAATCTACCGCGACTTCAATATCTAGAAACCTGTATCCGTTTGAATACAGTTGTCGTCGACAATGGACCCGAAGTATTGCAATCATTGACAACAAAGTTGCCGTCAATGCAGTCACTGGTCGTCCAAAGTCTAGTGTTTGACAACATTACTGATGATCTGGTGATGAAAGCTATGGACAGTTATCGGTCTAAATTGAAAGTGATTGAAATTACAGCCATTGATTGGACACAACTAAAGCCCAGACAACCGTACGATCCGATGATTACCGATTCATATCCATATAGAAGTAATTAAGTGAACAATCAATCAGTCAATCAATTATGATATCTATTTAATTCAATTAAATAAAAGCTAAGAAATTCAAGTGAATTTAGCATAGATTTAAAAATAATTAAATATATAATCAATCAATCTATTAATATATACTACAGTATTGTTTTTTTTAAAATCTTAATATTTAAACATTTATTTGTTGTTTGATATTATTGTTTTCTATACATTTTTATTTCAAGTAATTATCTATTTTTATTTATTAAAACACTTACAAAAATTAAAGTAAATTTTTGAATTAAATTTTTTTTATTCTTAAAAATAGTTAAAACATTATAAATAGCAAAGCCTATAATTATATAAACACAATGTATTAGCGGATGACAGTAGTAATCAACTACTGGCTAAGGGATTGGAATCGTTTAAAATCTACCAATTGTTTGACCAGTTTTGACCATTTTTAGTATTTTACATAGCCAGAAAACTGATTTCTATTATATTATTTTTATTATTATTTTTATTATTATTTTTATTATTATTTTTATTATTATTTTTATTATTATTTTTATTATTATTTTTATTATTATTTTTATTATTATTTTTATTATTATTTTTATTATTATTTTTATTATTATT